CCTCGAGCTACGTTCTGACGAGACAGGATATGCTCTGGGTGTGACTGTGTGTTTCCCATCGTTGCTTCAAAACTTCTGTGCCATTCCAACGCCCAGGGTCTGCTGCAGCTCTTCACCTTCCTTCAGAGGTGTCCACTTCGTAGCTGTGATTTCACAGTGGCCTGACCTGCGGATCTGCAAACCTGCCCTTTGATGCTGTGCAGCAGTGAGCTACATTTCCCCTGCCTGCGTTAGACATCTGCACTGGGGATGTGCCCTTATCCTTGACCATTTCTTGCTGGAGCTCCTTCTGCTGTCTCAAATCAGGGCTGCTGTTCCGCAGCTCCTCTGGAGAGCGGATTCTCTTCCAGATCATTTCCTCCTGAAAGCCATGTGCTGCTTCCCACAGGCACCGGTGCTTCAGCTGACCTAGTGTAGCTGCCCACACACAATCTCTGATTTTGGGGCACACAGAGCGCCCCTCTCGCAAACTGCAGCACGCACTGACTCAGGCCAGGGGCCGCCTCGCCTGCTTACAAAAACTGATGTTGAAATGGGGACCACTCGGTCTCAGCAAGCACAGAAAGTGACTCCCCCCATAGCCGCACCACATTCAGCCGCACACGTTCACCTTTCACCAACAGCTCATCACAGAGGTTTGTGCCCTGCTCATCCCACAGCTGGACCGCAGGATGGAGCAGTGACAGCAGAATAAAGCCGAGGGCTGCTAGTGTGGGAGTGACACATCACCAGGGAGTGGATTAGAAAGATAAAACTGAGACTGGCAGGAAGGCTGAGCCCAAAGGAGGCATTCTCAGGGGATTGGAGAGTCTACCTTGCCTAACAGCCCTATCCCAAATGCAACCAGATCCAGTGGTATTACACATGGGTAGCAAATGCTCCCAAATATGTCAGGATGGGAATGCATTTTCTGAGCTAAAGAAAACGAGATTAGCATTTTAAAGGCATTAAAGTGGGACGTTCTGTCCTCATCTCTGTCCTCATCTCTTGGCACAAAGAGACAACTCCATCCCCTCCCCTCGTGCTTCTGACCAGTCCATAGAGCATCCTGCTTTGGGGCAGAGTTCATGTTTTCAGTAGCTGCAAAAAACTTTTCGGTACTCAGCACCTATGAAGTGTACCAAGTTTCACGCAAAATGTAACAGTGTCTAAGGTACTCTGCTCTCCTTGGAAGATTTCCACTGGCAGACTTCATTAGAGTTATGGAGTAGTTACCAATCCTGTTATTCCTACTAATGAGTGCTCACTAGCTGGCTTGCACTTTCACAAAGCTGCATTCTATCTGCACAGCTCTTCCAGTTAATACCCAACATGATCTTGCACAGATGATCACATGGTGGTCAGTCTTTATAGGCTGAGGACAAAGTGGATACACGAAAAAGTAAGATACAAAGGCTACTACTATCCACCCAAGCTCTGGTTTCTAATCCCTCCCTTCCCTGTGCTCCTCGTCTTCTGTCTTCCCTGTGCTCCTCTTCCTCTCTTTTCCCTGCTTCTTTGCAGTATTCAGACATGATGATGGCATGTAACCGAATTTCCATGGCTTTACAAACCCCCGTGCATCGTGACCCTCGGTTACTGCTCTCCAGCTCTTCGTCCACTCCTGATGGACAGGATCTGTGATGGGACTTTCTGTACTCACTGTGGGTGTGCAGAAATGGTATCGGACTTGCAGGATAAACAAACACAGACGCACACTCTGTCCTATTAAACCAAAACCTACTTCCTTGGTGAGAACCCTGGTGTAACTCATTTAAACACGCTCTTTCCTCTGTGTTTTGCAGGTGTTGGAGCCCCCATGCTGAACTCGGCAATGTGTGTGCATTACTTCCACCACGGACTAACGATCTACTCCTGCCAGAGCTGTGGAGTGTGACAATGGTGTTTGTGTCCAGTCTATCAAACGCCATTATCACACTAAATAGCTACTGGCAGTCAGGGCATCAGTCCCGAGAAGCACGTGAACTGCAGCAACACGTTTTCCCAGTGTGCTAAGGAATAAACAACCTTTTAACCTGTATGTCAGGGCGACTCTGCTCTGTCTTTTATAAGGAAAAGCACCACAACCTGTGGGCAATGCATATTCTTCTGCGTGCACTTCCAGGTTCCCACCGTAAAGTCATCTTAAGGGCTCCTCACTGTAATGCCCTGAGCAGGGATGTGTATTTCACTGGAATCAATGGGTTGTGATTACCTCTGAAAAGCAGGCCAGCCTGGGATTGTCTTTGTCCTGTTGAATTGACCAGGACAAGAATACTGAAACCCATCAGCTGATGTGGTGAAACTCCAGCTCTTATTTTGTCACCAAACTGAACAACACTTTTGGAACATTAATTGCCCAATGCTCACAATGTTTTTCAAACAGAACACTTTCAAAAATTCTGATAAAGATCTATTACTTCTAACTTGAGACAGCGGTTTTTCAGGTTGCAAGTGCTTTCAGCTTTGTTCCCTCCAATGTCACAGCTATACATGTGATCTGAGTGCCAGGCCCAAGTTCATTGTCCCATACACTAAACCTACTGTTTTGGGAATGGTCACAATTTCCTCACAGAAATGAGAAGTAAAGAGCAGGAGTACTCTGTAGAAACTTTCAAAGGGATTAGCATGAGCCTGGCACCAACACTGCACTGAGAAGCCCAAGCCCCATCGCATAATCCAAGGTCCAGGCTCACAGACTGTTGTGCTCTGACTTGTGGTGAGCGGTAACCTTACTATTCATCAGCGAGCTCCGACTCTACCCATCATGGGTAGGAAGCTTCCTACGGCTATGGTGAGAACTCCATTCTGGAGTGTTTCAGCACTGTTAGTCTGTGTAAGAGAGTTTAAATCATGAAGCATTAGTGCATCGGCCTCAACTACAGTGGTGCCCTAAGACAGGCATTTTAAAATTGCTCCCAGGACACAGAGCAATGCATTCCTTCAGTGGGTGCTTAAGAACATTATGAATATAATTCACACAACTGCTAGCAGCACAAATTAACATCTGGGTGCTCCAGTTCCTGCTTGGCTGCCATCTCTGCTGGAATCAAAAGACCTATTTATCTGAGCTGCTCACACAACCCAGGCTTTGGTTCCCTTATGCCACGGGCACTAAGCAGCCTCTGGCCCAGATTAAAACACAGTCTGTAAAGCAGGTAGGTGCTTCTCCCTGTTGGCTCAGTGCACCACTAAGCCCAGAGCCCAAGGAGGATACTCTTCACTCTACTGAAAATTATTATTTCACTGCTTACAGTTTCACAGCCAGCCAGCCAACAGACACCGGTATCACGGGTACACCAAGGGGAACCTTCCTTCTCCCACTGAAGTCAACTGACATGAGTAGGACCAAACTTCTGACTTCTCGCTCTTAGACCTTTGTAAAGGTTAGGTGCACTCATCTCTCATTCTTTTCCAGATAGCTGGGAAATCCTTGCGGGTACTGGCGATAGAGGTACGTTCTGTAGCAGAAGACTGAGGTGGGTGAGTGGCTAGCTATCAGTCCAGAAAGAACAGCAATTAGCAGCAAAGTATTTCTGTTTAGGTGTGACATGGTAATTCAGACACGGGCAGATGTGTTAATCATCATTTCCCACCAGCTTTTGTCATGCCTGCTGCAGCTTTCCCATTGCTGTCAGAGTATCTACACTTCATACACTCTGTCGTGAGCCAGAAACACCGTTAAGGAGCTGAGGAGGTTTTTGAGAGGGGCCTGCACAGACAAGGCGTTCCTGCCGCACAGCTCCCACCTCTCAAACATGACAGGCACGAGGGCAGCAGACAGCCCAGCAAGTGTGCGAGACCACAGCGCAGCATGGAAACGTAAGGGGTAGCCCCACTCCTCTCCTCCCTCTGCGGTTGATGTCCAATCTCCATCTCCCTCTTTCCGTCTAAACCCATCACCCCTTGTCCTGTCACTGCAGCCCCTTGTAAAAAGTCCCCCCCAGCTTCCTTGTAGCCCCTCCCAGGCATTGGAAGGCTGCAGTAAGGTCCCCCCAGAGCCTTCCCCTCTCCAGGCTGAACCCCCCAACTCTCCCAGCCTGTCCCCAGGGCAGGGGGGCTCCAGCCCTCGGAGCATCTCCGCGGCCTCCTCTGGACTCGCTCCAAGTGGTCTATATCCTTCTGATATTGGGGGCTCCACAGCTGGACGCAGCACTCCAGGTGGGGTCTCACCAAAGCAGAGTACAGGGGCAGAATCCCCTCCCTCGCCCCCCTGGCCACGCTGCTCTGGATCCAGCCCAGGATCCGGTTGGCTTTCTGGGCTGCCAGCGCACACGGCCGGCTCATGTCCAGCTTTTCATCCCCCAGCACCCCAAGTCCTTCTCCTCGGAGCTGCTTTCAGCTGGTGGCATCAGGCAGACTCCAAACCCTCTACCCTCCCACAGGGTCAGCGCAAGCACAACAGGACTGTGCATGGTTAACTGTAGATGCAAGTAAATTTGCACAGAAAGCAAGGAATTCTACGGAGAGTGACACCAGCTGCCCATCTTCAAGCTGATGACATCACTTTGTGAGGACCCTAAGGATGGTAGCTAGTTTGGGGGGGGCAGAAGGCAGTATGTCCAATCATGAATGGCTTTGTCTTGTATTAGAAGACATGTAAGTGGGAGAAAAAAATCACCAGAACAGTTACAGTGGGATTAAAACACGCAGACACCCGGGAAGGAAACCCCTCGCACAGCAGCCTGAACAACAACGTGCGACTCTTTACTAGGCGGCATCTTGAACACCCTGATGGCTCCGTAGCAGCTCAGCCTGGGGTCACACACACAGAAGGGACGATGTTCCCCCGCGGTGCACTCCAGATGTGGAGGTACCACTACATAGAAGGGCTGCAGGCAATCCAGGCAGACGGCTGAGTTTGTCTTCAATGCCCTGCTCCGGTGTTAAATCCCAGGTACCAAGCCCAGTGAGCCAAGCCCTTTCTGAGCTGCTGGCATCAGGATGAGTCCAAGAGACTGCCAGAGGGCACCAGGCGGGAGTTACCCCACCAGGTCACTGCAGCCTTTCACTGCCCACCTCCCTGGGAGAAGTCGCGGTGCGGGGCAGTGTAAGTCAGTGCTCTGTAGAAACAAAGCCCCTAGGTTCTCTTGCTTTCCTGGGCACTGTTTTTTTCACAGCCGGTGAGCTGGGCAGGGTCTTGCTTTTCACAGATGTTGCTTTCCTCTGCTTCTGATGAGTGTTCCGGAGAGATTTCAGCCCCAGCATCTCACAGAACTTATTGCACTGATGGAGGGCTCTGAACTGCTCAATGAAGGAAATCGAGCAGTTGCCTTTAAAACCTTTGTACCTGCAGCAACAAAGAAAGAAAAAGCCAAATGGGATTTCAGGGTTCGTTTTCAGCACAGGGAGGCAGTGTATGACTTGACTTACAGGCAGCCTGGGACCGTTGAGCAAGTCTCTTCCAGCCCCGCTGTTCTGAGGGGCGCTAACTGGCACAGAAACCAGACTGAGCCTTGAGAGGGGAAGGAAACCAGGTAGTAACTGTGACAGGGAAACAGGTTAACGAGGCATAGTTCTGGGGTCTGTGTCCTGGATGTCATGTTTCTTTTCGTTTGATTGGGAATGTGACTGTCTGCTGCCTAGTTTTGTTTCAGTAACATATCACTGATACCCGTTCTGTGTCACCCTCTGTACACAGGTCTTCTGACCACCGAGAAGAGAGAAGGGTGGTGCTGTCTGAACCAGAACCTGTTTTCATCCACACACGTAATGCCTGTGCTGCAACTCTGCCTCCCTCAGGCCTGACAGGCAGCCTGTGTGCTTGCTTACCCAAAGCAGGGTGGAGAGCTGTTGTCACTTCAGGATTACACCCCGGAGCTCAGACAGCACGTTGTTCTCTCCCGCTTTTGGAGAAATACTAGATGGAGATGTTACACTCGAGCCCCTTCAGCCCAGCTGTCAGTAGCAGAGCTCCAGTCACACCAGCGTAAGTTCCACAAGCAAACAACACGCCTGTGGTCCACAAGGAAACCTCTTCATACCGCGCGTTGGCCTCAAATCCAGAAACTACATGCAGCAGAGCAACACACTGCCAGCCATGAGCACTAACCTGATTAACTGGTCACGAATATTTGGTTACCTGCTGGGTGTCCCCACACTGTCACAGTGTCACACACAGCAGCCACTGCTGAGGACACAGGCAGGCTCTGTGCAGACAACCTTGGGCAGTTCCTGCTCACTCTGCTATCTGAAATTCTCCCTTTCTGCTGCAGGAGAGACCACAGGCTTCATTGCTCCAGCACTCCATGTAGGTGTGTTCCGGCAGAAATACGAACAGGGAACCTGCAGGCCAACACTTAGGTGAGAGGTTCCACCACACTGGTGCTGGCTAGTTTCATTTGCGGCTGCAAAGTGACCTCTTGCTCTTACCCTCTGTTTTTTTTCCAGGGAGCTATGTTGTTGCAGCTCAAGCAAATTTCTTCATGTGTTTTTCTCTTGCTATAAAATTCTGATAATACTTATTTCTTGGAGGAAATAATATCGGAAAGCAAAAGTTGAGTTAAAAAAATCCACTCTTCTCATGCAGTGGATAGAACCCCATCGAAATGGCTCTGCTATCTGCAGTTGCCTGTATGTCTGCCAAGGAACGTCTGAACAAGGAGCAGAAACAGCAGCGTTCACGCAGACAATGCAATGAGTAATGACACTTCAAATGAGTGCTGTGCTAACTAACTTCAGCTTAGAGTCCAACAACTGCCAGAAATATTGCAGTAAAGAGCATAACAGTCTTGACAACAGGAGACAGAACACAGACGTGTCACAGAGGTGGCCTAGGTACCACGCCTTGTCCAGTTTTGGAGCTGAGAGGCAGGAAGGAGCCCAGTTTGGCTCTGGGCTGTGCAGACCGCCCCAGGTCTTACAGCAGCCGCAGACCAACTCACCTACGGCTGGGAGAGCCAAGTTTGGTGCCGAGCTCTCCCAGCTGTTTGCTGTTCCTGTGCCTGGCTTCCGTGGGGGCCCCCCAAGTGTGTCTGGCCTGACGACCACAGCTTGGGAGCTGCATTCAAACAGTTCTGCACTGCTGCAGCCTGTGATGTGGGAAACGCAAAGGTTGCCACTAGCAAATGGCTTCTCACGTTTTGTGTTCAACCGAACTACTGACGATCCCCAGTCTTGACAAAGACAACTGTTATTTTGCACAGCACCTCCTATGAGTGATAAATTAAACCCTGATGGAATGCCACCTCCCAAACCTGACAGCTGGGCGTGGGCCCAAGCCAAATATTCCTTAAATCTGAGGGGGGAAGGTTGGATTTGCCCCTGGGCTTAAACTCCACGGTGCCCCTTGTTGTCACACTGGGCACAACCGAACTTGTTGATGCCCCGAAACCAGCCAGCCGTTTAGATCCACACTCGCAAACAGCACATCATGATTGAGGGTCACCGTGTTCCTGACTCCTTCCTCTTTGTGTTTACTGCTCCTGGACAAATACCTGCACACTTGCACACAGCTTCTGAACTCACTGGTTGTGCATGGGATTATCTCTTCCCTTTCGCCAAGGGAGCCACCAACTAGCTGGTGTAAGGCCTGCTAGCTGGCTGCTGCACCTGCCTTCCGAACTTTCCAAGCTTTCCAGGCTTCCCGGTTGCTAGCGAGGCTTTGCTCTCTGCTGATGCAACCCATACTGCAGCTGCTTGAGCGCACTGAGCGGCGACCCCTGGCTCTGGGCTCCCGGGTTCCCTTTCACTGCCAAACCAGACACCAAAAGGGTCAAAGACCACAATTACCCTGAAGAGTGTTAATTGCTGAGCACGTCTATCTCCGCCCCCCCACCCCTTCCTGTCTCTACAGCAAGGAGGGGAGAGATAAAGACAAGGGATGCATAAACGCTCATCTAGAAATGGTTGTTCGGACTTGGAATATGAGTCTGTAGCCCCCCAGGTCATTAACAGCAACGAGCAGTGCTGGATATAGGTGCAGAATTTAAATGCATGGTGTTCATTGTGCCTGGTTTACAGAAACCCCGGGGGTAAGTAATGACCATGAATAATTCATGACAGCTGCCATATCGGGCTGCGCACATTCATCAATCACAGTCTGTACTGTGACATTAGGGTATTTGAAAGCTCAGTTATATTGTGAGGTGGCAGGGGGTGGGCGAGATGGATCTTTCTGCAGGGTTTTTTTCCCCATCACAGGCTAATCTTACAATCAAATTAGAACTGTACGTAATTTACACTCCAACCAGGAAGAGTATGAATGTGAAGGATCACAGAAGCATTTCCCAAGGATATTTTTGGTTTGCCTTGATCAGCCCAGGCTTCGGAGAATTGGAGGCAGAGGACCTGTCTGTGAGCAGTGAGGTCATTACCTCTGCAGGAGTGGATGAGAAAACGATGGTCATTTCTATATGCAATTACACCCCAACATCAGCTTCCTATCGTGAACAACACAGTTAAAATCACAGCAGTGTCATTCCGTATTTTCTAGTTAATAGGACAACGGATGTTCTCCAGCATGGAGACTGACAATCTCCCACCAGCACGGCTGCACGCTACCAAAAGCCACTAACACAGGTGACTCTGGCCAACCTCTTTGTTTCCCCCATCCAGGCGCATGGAGTTAAGACCCAAACTGCAGACATTAATGCAGAGGTGCCCTTTCTGGGAAAGGACCATGAAGGAAAAATAGAGGGCCAGGAAACACCTGTTGTCTTGCAGTTGTATCATTAGCTAAATAACAACAAGATGATGCTCAACGTTGTCTTGAGGTTGTTCATGAAGGGAAACAATATTCCCAAACTCATGAGTGAGGCAGCCCGTACTACAGCTTGCACTGTATACTCATTTCCTCACTTCACTTCCTCTTCCCTAGTCCAACGTGTTTTTATAGGAGTAACTTCCCATGGAGAGCTGGGCAACAACATCCATTAAAGCTTTTCTTTAAATCCTCTCATTCCAGAGAACAGCTCTGCCTAAATAAAATGTTTATGACTTCTTTGTTTTGTAAGAGGATGATGCAACTTCGTTTGAACTGATTTCACTTGGGACCCACTCTGAATGTACATTCTGACTGGGTGCCAGCCTAAAGCGTTAAGCAATTTCCCAGAAGATTATGGGGCCAAATTTCTATTAACTTTAAAGACATTGTGAGGTTTTTTCCTGTACCACGGGTATACAGACAGGCTCCAGTTTAGTGTAAAGACTGAACACATCCGCTGCTTGCTGTCAGTCTCTCGAAGGAGAACGTGAATCCAGCCCTCTCCAGGCACAGCTGGCACTGCCTGTTTCCATCAATGGCTCTTCTTGGCCTGCAGCGTAACTGGAAGCTTCAATTAACAGAAACTTAAGAGAAGTGGAAGAAAGTTAGAATGTTAAAGGCCTGTGTCTTTACACACATGCTTAAATCTCCCCAGAAGACCCGAAGTCATTCAAAGCTGTAGGAAACAAGCCTCTCAAATAGTATGATCTTCTGTTACAGCTCAGAATTACAGCTTTTGAGAGAGAAGGGA